AGAGATCTAAAGTCAATAAGCTAGAAGAAAAGAAAATCAAATCAAACCCCAAAACCCAACCCCTCAAAAAGCTAGAAGAAAAGAAAATCAAATCAAACCCAAAGAAAAAAATAATACAAATCAGAGCAGAAATCAGTGAAAACAGAAAAAGAATAGAGAAAATCAACAAAGCTGGGTGGTGCCTGTGGCTCAATGAGTAGGGTGCCGGCCCCATATACTGAGGATGGCAGGTTCAAACCCGGCCCCAGCCAAACTGCAACAATAAAATAGGCGGTTGTTGTGGCAGGTGCCTGTAGTCCCAGCTACCTGGGAGGCTGAGGCAAGAGAATCGCCTAAGCCCAGGAGTTGGAGGTTGCTGTGAGCTGTGTGATGCCACAGCACTCTACCGAGGGTGATAGAGTGAGACTCTGTCAGTACAATAATAATAATAATAAAAAATAAATCAATCAACAAAGCCAAAAGTTGTTTGAGAACAATTCTATAGTCCATAGAATGATTATGTTAGTTAAGCTCAAACAAGGAGACAGAAACTGCATAGTGATTTAGAGAGGCAAAGTTTAATTTAAAGAATTATTAATTATATAGAGGGATTGAAGTAGGGGGATGAAAATTGACTAGTAAGAAATAAAGAGATTCAAAGAGCAGTCACTAGATCTGAGATAGAGTACTCAAAGAGGAATGTGACCTCCTAGATAACCCCTTTCAGAGCTGCAATTGAGACCTCATTAGATAGAGTGAAGTCATGTCTCACTGAGTGGCACAAAAGTTTGCTGTGGAACTCAGAGGAACTGTTTAGTTGTTCCCCAGCATGATTGGGAGTAAACCATTCATAGACAAGTGCCAACCCTGTGGCCTTGCATTGCAAACTCATTCGGAGGAATACCAATGGGGATGAGCCATGTGCTACTGACTGAAGGGAACTTTTGAAATCAGCTGCTGCAGAAGCCATATGCTGCTAGTGACATGTTTTGCAGAACAATGTGTGCTGCTGGAACCAGGCCCTGTGTTGCAGGAGCCTGCATTGCAGGGGTGTAGTCTGCAGGTGTCCCATGTCTACTGCAGGATCCTGTCTAAATGAGCACACTGAGACCATGAGAACGCCTTTCCTCTTTCAGTGATCCTTCAGTGCCCTCTACTGACAAAACTTTACATGGTGGCAGCTGGCAAAGAAGAAATATTACAGGGTCCAGCTCTATTATTGCAGAGCAGCCAATTAGGGAACTGAGAAGCAATTAATTGATAACTGGCAAGCTAATCAAATCAAGAAAAAAAGAATGAAAATACAATTCAGTAAAGTCAAGAACAACACTACAGATTTCCCTGCAATTATAAAAATTATAAAAGTATATTATGAACAACTTTATGCATATAACTTAGATGGAAAAGACAAATTCCTAAAAAGATACAAATTACCAAAGCTGACTGAGGAAGAAATAGAAGATTAGTAATGACCTATAAGAAGTAAAAGTAAGGAATTAATAATTTAAAAATTCCCTCAAGAAAAACTCCAGGCCTACCTGGTTTCACTAGTGAATTCGTTAATATTTAAGGAGGAAATAATGCCAATACTTCATAGCCTCTTTCAGAAAATAGAGGAGGAAAAACAAAAATTCCTAATTGAATTATAAAGCTAGTTTTGTCTTGGTGCCAAATCAAGCCATAAATATTAAAAAACTCTTTAGACTTTATAGTCATTAGCCCAGTGTTTAAAAAAAAAAAAACTCTTTAGACTAATATCCATCATGAACACAGATACAGTATCATCAGTGAAATATTAGTAAACATGGGTGGCTCCCATAGCTCAGTGGGTAGGGCGCTGGCCACATACATTGAGGCTGGCCGGTTCAAACCTGTCCCAGGCCAGCTAAAACAACACTGACAACTGCAACCTATTAAAAAAAAAAAATAGCCGGGCATGTTGTAGGTGTCTGTAGTCCGAGCTACTTGGGAGGCTGAGGCAAGTGAATCACTTAAGCCCAAGAGTTGGAGGTTGCTGTGAGCTGTGAAGCCAGGGCACTCTACCCAGGGCAATAGCTTGACTGTCTCCAAAAAAACAAAAAAACAAAAAACTATTAGTAAACAAAATTCAGCAAGATATAAAACTAGTAAATATGGTGGCACCCGTAGCTCAGTCAGTAGGGCGCCAGCCACATGCACCAGGGCTGGTGGGTTCAAACCCAGCCCTGGCCTGCTGAAAACAAAAAAATAGCCAGGTGTTGTGGTGGGTGCCTGTAGTCCCAGCTACTCAGGAGGCTGAGGCAAGAGAATCTCTTTTTTTTTTTTTTGTAAGAGAATCTCTTAAACCCAAGAGTTTGAAGTTGCTGTGAGCTGTGATGCCACAGGACTCTACCAAGGGTGACAAAGTGAGACTCTGTCTCAAATAAATAATTAAAAACTAGTAAATATATTATACACCATGACCAAGTGCAGTTTATTCCAGGAGTAAAATGTTGTTTTAACATCAGAAAATTAATTAATTTAACACACTGTAGTACTAGAATAAGGCCAAAGCATAATGACAATTTTAGTAAATGCAGCAAAAGTATTTTATAAAATCCAACTCTAATTGTTGATAAGAGCTCTCAGAAAACTATAAAGAGAAAAAAACTGCCTCCAACTGATCAAGGACAATAAAACCTATAGCAAACATCTTAGTGGTGAAAGACTGAATGCTTTTTCATTGAGATTGAGAACAAAGAGGCTCGGTGCCTCTAGCTGGCCACATGTAATAGGGCTGGCAGGATTGAACCCGGCTGGGGTCTGCAAAACAACCATGACGACAACAACAAAAATAACCCCATGTTGTGGTGGGCACCTGTAGTCCCAGCTGTTTGGGAGGCTGAGGCAAGAGAATCAATCACTTAAGCCCAAGAGTTTAAGGTTACTGTGAGCTGTGATGCCACAGCACTCTATTGAGGGTGATATAATGAGACTCTGTCTCAAAAAAAAAATTGAGAACAAAGAAAGGATGTCTGTTTCCATCACTTCTATTGAACATTGTTATGGAGATTTTAACCAATCCGATAAGACAAGAAAAAGAAAGAAAAGTCATGGAAATTGTGAAGAAAGAAGTATTACTGTCTTTATTTGCAATTGACATCATCCTGCATTTAGGAAATAAGAAATCTACAAAAAGAAAGAAAATACTACTGAGCTAAAAATAAGTAAATAGGCTGAATGATATAAGATCAATATACCAAGGTGAATCCTTTCACAATTTCATACAAAAGAATAAAATATTTAGGCTCAGCACCCATAGCACAGTAGTTACAGCACCAACCACATACACTGGGGCTGGTGGTTCAAACCTAGCCCG